ATGTGTGTGTGTGTGTGTGTGTGTGTGTATATATATATATATATATATATATAATTTATATTTATTTAGCTTTATCTCAATTACCAAATACTAATTTTAATAATTTCAGTTTTAGTTAACAATAATAAACACTGGTTGGTCTGCTACATCAGCCATTCATATTTTATTTCTGTCCTTGGCAAAACTGGCTCATTAATTTCATTTGTTATTGTTCTGAATTGTTTCTTCTAAGCAAATCACTTTGTTTGGATGGTTAATTTTCAGAGAGCTGATATAAAATATAAAATCTAATATTTGAGTAATCGGTCAACAGCATTCCCAGAATTTTTTTAGCAAAATATTTTTGTTAAATGTTATTTACTCAGTTATATACATTACTTATTACTTAACTGTATTTAATATGAATTTATGTTCAAATTAAATGCTTTTATTATGCAGATTTTGTATTATGTTTGTTACACAATGTTATGGTGCCAAAGTTGTTTATCGAAAAAAAAAAAGTAGACAAAAAGTCCTTTGAATAAAACATCAGTATTTATTTATATGACAGTTTTCAAAATTGTCTATATTGGCTTTGTCTAGTTAGACTATACCTTTTACTAAACTAGAGATGAATTTTCTCTAAAAAGTGCAGAGTGCAGAGTTTGACAGCCTTTTCACAATCCACATTGTTTCAAAGCAACTTTACAGAAAACCATGATGTCAATGTTTATAATATTAATATTTCCATGCCTTATAGTTGCATTTAGCAGATTAGGGCTGGGTGATAATATACAGTAGTTCACATTATGCAATTATTTAAACAATCAAGCAGTTAAGACTTGCTATATAGTTCATGTCACTTTAACTGCTGTCCTAATGTACACATAGTGTTTGCAAATAAATAAAACATTTTAAAATGAATGGCTATTGTCCCATCAATAAACACTTTTTATGACCTGAACAGATTGTTAAAGGTGAAGTGTGTAATTTTTAGGCACTAGCATCAATAAAAGAAATGATGGTTTACAAACAGGTTTCCTCAACTTTAACATTTTAGTTATCTTCTTAAACTTGTTATATCAGACAGGTGACGTGAATGTTTTTTAACTAAGGACAACTGATAAATGATGACATGGTCTCTTCAAACAAGTCGGAAGAGGGAGATGTGTAAAAAGCAGATAATGAAAAGAAGGAAGGGAGAGAAAGGAGGTTAAAGGTTATTTTGAGTGTTTTTACAGTCGTGACATTCAGATAGATCTAATAAAGACTGTTTACCTGCCTTCGTGAATCTTTAAATCTCTGGATATCCTGTGATAGTGGACGGACAGTTTTACTTTCACACGAATGATTTGAGAGTCTCATGTGAAGTAACACTTAACATGTTTAAATGAAGGGCTGCGTTACTGAAACTAGAGGTTCAACCCTTACATAACCCAGTTGAATGTTATCAGTCTGAGTCAAAATGTGGCTCTGCTCCAAAATCTAGTAAACTACGTAAGAAGCATGTTACGAACGCTCCCAGTGAAAGTCTGGTTATGCTGCTTTCTGAAATACTAGCCTGGAAGTCTAATTCGCCATGTGTTTCTTTTATAATAGCATTTTTTTTTACTTTTATGCAGTTTCTTTATTTGCACTACCGGTCAAAAGTTTGGAATAATTTAGATTGTTTAAAATATTTTTGAAAGAAATCTCTTATGGGTGACCGTGATTTCACCAAGTACAACATGTTCCTGGATCAACATCCTTGTTGATCCTGGAACAACATTCCTATCAACCAATCAGAATTGAGGGATAACTTTTCAGGAAATGTCAGTTTTAGGCTTAAAATCGGGGTTAGGTGCTTCTACACCCTTGTTAATCAGCTATCATTTCCCTCTGATTTTAGGAATAAATTATGGGTAAGGTTAGGTTTAGTTGAAGTCATTGTGAAAATGTGTGTGGTTGCTGGTGCCATTGTGTCAATGTTATGAATGTAGGCCAGTTTTTTTTATTTATTTTTTTCCTTTTACAGCCCTGTCCGGGTTTATGGACATTTCCTTTTGTGCAAGAAAAAGCTTGTGTTTTTTTGTGCCTGAAAACAATGCATGCTTACTCATCATAACCTGGGATTTCTTACTGGAACTAAAATGGGGATTTTTTTTTTTTTTTGCTGGAAATAGATTATGGGTGCACAGATGTCCTAACAATGCTTCTTACCCTAAAATCCTTCTTGAAGGGATACTTTACTCAAAAAAGAATGAAAAGAAAATGTAAAAAAGTGACTATGGAAGTCAATGGGGCCCATCAACAGCTTACCAGAAGAAAGAAATTCATATCGGACTATCTCAGGGCTGTCCAAACTCGGTCCTGGAGGGCCGGTGTCCTGCAGAGTTTAGCTCCAACTTGCCTCAACACACCTGACTGGAAGTTTCTATGCCTAGTAAGAGCTTGATTAGCTGGTTCAGGTGTGTTTAATTAGGGTTGGAGCTAAACTCTGAAGGACACCGGCCCTCCAGGACCAAGTTTGGACAGCCCTGGACTATCTGATATAAACATATAGTCGTCATGAAAGTACTTAAACACTTTTGAACGTGAATTTCATTGCATTAGATAACAAAGTATCAAAGTAAGTGACATTTGCAAACAAATGATCCTAGAGCTTGTACTCAACAAATGTTACAACATTTTGTAATTATATATTTTTTTGAACTTGAGAAGGAATTTTAATTAAACATTTTTAAATTTCTTTCAAATAATTTGTATTTCTTAACTTTTATCAATAGCTTTGTGTTTTTCTAATTCATTGAATGTTCCTTAATTATTTTAGAATTTTGTTTATTGTATTTTTTTTTAGCCTTTTTTAAATCTTTATATATATTTTTTTTTATTTATAATGCAATTTTCCTATTCATTTGATATTTTTTTAATGATTTTGGAATTGACTTTTTAAATTTTTATTATTTTTCTCTCTCTCGTCTACTTTTTGTGCTCATATGAAGTACTTTAAATTACCTTTTGTTTAAAATTGTGCTATATAAATATATTTATCGAATTAATTTCCTATAATATGAAACCTAAAAAATATTGTTTTGTGAAATGTTTTGCTTGAAACATGCAAGTTTTATATTTCTTCAACATAAATGCCATTTGGTGTGATATATCTAATGCAATGACATTCACACATTTCTTAAGTGTCTCAAGTGTCCAAATACTTTTAAGGCCCTTTTTTGGAGCACATCTTTAAAGTTGCTCTGACTGACTCAGAGCGCTTTGAATCTGTCATTTAGTTAAGTACATCTGCTTCAGTGCTTGTGTGTGGATCCAAGTAATATAATATGTGACTGGACTCCAAGGTCCTGATCCTGGGAAAGTTACCGTGGCTTTGGGAATAGAAACTATGTTGATGAACTTCTGAGATGAAGCAAATATATTTCACTCTGCCTTAATATTCCGAGATTATTTTCCCTCGGCAGTCCGTGATAAATCTGATTGGCATCTGTGCTGTCCGATGGGAAAAAGAGCTGTGTGGAATATTCAGGCTTTAAGAAATGCAGCTAGAGTTTATAAATATTCCCTCTCCTGGTTCTCACGACTTCAGATAGAAAACATAGTGGAGTTGCACATGTTGGAGACATAAATCAGTGTTTTCCTGGTTACGAGATACTGTTGTGGGCATCCGTTGAAATGACATCTGGTGCCGTGACCCTGCCGATAATTCCCACTGACTTCCTGTATCCGGACAGCAAGCAGAAGATTATCCAGCGTCACTGAATCCAGAACATGTTTGACGTTTTATGATTAGTCAGTGTCTCTTGATGTGGAAACCCTTCTGATGTGTTGTACACTAGCTGTGTCGATTTTCATATTCATAACTGTGTGTATCGCAGAAGTACTGATGAACTTGCACGTTGCCTGTTTCCTATTATGAAAGCATTTTCCTTTTCGTTCCCATGGAAAATTCAACAAAAGACATGCACTAGATGATTTGTTTTGATGTGTGTTACCAAGCCAGCAATCTGGGGCCAATAATAACGCTGTTGTTTGTGTTTCAGTGGCGATGCCGTTCATCATAATGACCATCATGTTCCGGCCGTACCAGCGTGGCGTTTACTGCGATGACGAGACCATCCGTTACCCCTACAGACCAGACACCATCTCTCACAAAATGATGGCGGCCGTTACCATTTCCTGCTCCATCATTATCGTGAGTCTACATCAATCAATCAGCTGAGCAAACCCTTAAAGGAGTAGTTCACCCAAAATTAAAATTTGCTGAAAATGTACTCACCCTCAGGCCATCCAAGATGTAGATGAGTTCAGTTCTTCATCAGATTTGGAGAAGTTTAGCATTACATCACATGCTCACCAATGGATCCTCTGCAGTGAATGGGTGCCGTCAGAATGAGAGTCTAAACAGCTGATAAAAACATCACAATAATCCACACCACTCCATTAAATATTTTTATTCGTTTTTATTAGTCAATATTCTGCCCCTTTAATCATAATTTGTCTGGAGATAAAAATGGCTGGTGTTTTACTGCCACTAGTGATTATTCAGCTGGAAACTGGAGTGAATTGTATGTATATGCATATGTTTGTGGTGTTTTGCAAGAATGAAGTGAATGTTTTTATGTAATGTTGGAAAAAGTGGATAGTGAAACTGTGTCTGTGTCTGTCAAACTTCAAAAAGGACAAAAAGATACCATAAAAGTAGTCTAGAACACCAAAAGAATCGGACTAATGTGTTTCATGAGTTCAACTCAGTGATTCATATAGCTTTTTCTATGAAAAACAATTTAAATATCTGTCCATTCCTCTCACAAAGCTCTCATATGAGTTGGAATATAATGCATAATTCAATATGAACTACTTTGAGTATTGAGTGTGACAGATGTAACCTTAATTAATAGTGGCCACATTTTTACCTTTATGTACTAAAGATGAAAGAAAGAAAGTCATACAGGTTTGAAAGAAAATGAGGGTGACTAAATAACCACAGAATTAACATTTGTGTGTGAACTGTTCATTTAAGAAGCATCATAAATAGCTGAAAGGATTTGACGTTGAACTACTCGTGGGAACCTGAATGAAAGGAATTTTATGTGGTGTAATTTGGTTGCGAAAACATGCAGGTTGGTTTGGTATTGTGTCCACATTTTCTGAGAGAACATTGTGATTCGTTCAACATGATTCATCAGCCAGAGTACAATTCAAAACATGAGTCATCTACATCACACAGACTCAGACTCTCATTACTAGCAATGAGTCTTAAGGCAAGTTTATGTAGCACATTTGATACACAATGGTCAAAAGTGTGTTGCATAACACATAGGTACATACAAAATTAAATGAATTAAAAATGTTTGAACTATTGCAATGTGCCAATATTTAGTCATGCATTAGTAGTACACTCTTAAAAATAAAGGTTCAAAAAAAGTTTTTTTTGACATAGAAGGTTCCCAAAAAAACCTTTCAGTGTACAGTGCTTAAAAGAACCACTTTTTCCACTGTAGAGAACCTTTTGTGGAATGATAAGTTTCCATGGATGTTCAAGGTTCTTCATGGAATCGTCAATGCCAATATAGAACCTTTATTTTTAAAGAGTGTGAAGGAACTTTTGTGGGATGGAAAGATTCCATCCATGAATATTAAAGGGGTCATATGATGCTGCTAAAAAGAACATTATTTTGTGTATTTGGTGCAATGAAACGTGTCGTCTTTGAGTCAGAACAGATTGTAGTCTACTCTCCCAGGATCAGGAAACAGTCCTCCATAAAGACCTTTTGGAAGACCAAACAAAGTAGTTTCGCTTTCACAATGAAAAACAAGGCGGCCTAGTGTGTGCGGAAGCCGCCGCTTAGCGTGAGCTGAGGCCAGCTTGAGTGAGCTGAGGCAGCGGGGTTGAGAACGGCGCGGCCGGCGGATTCGACGAAGGAGCGGCAACCACATGTGACGACCCCGGGCTGGACTCCG